TACTGTCGAGAAATGTGGTTTCAATAGTGGATTTCTTTGTGATAGCCTTATAATATATTTTCATTTTTAATTATAAAATTTAAAGCTTCAAAATAGTGTAGATGGAACAGATCTTTATATAGAGCCGAGTCTCCAACCAATCAAATTAGAGCCCGCCTAAAAAAGTTCACTAAAAAGAGGTTGTTTTGATATCAAAATATCCTCAAATTGATCATCTTGACATCAAGATGCATAAACATGAGAAAACAAAAATGGAAAAGTTTTGAAAATAGTGCATCTTGTAACGCATTTTTGGACCGTCAATTTTCAAGTTTCATAGATCTGCTCGATCTGCATATTTTCGAAGCTTTTAGTTTTATAATTAAAGATGAAAATATATTTTAAGACTATTACAAAGATTTTCAGTATCGAAACCACATTTCTCGACAGTATTTGAAGGTGCACTTTTACTTTGATTGTTTAGAGCCTTAACTTTATACAAACCTTACTCATAAAAAAACGCTAACACGTTTGGTTCGCATGAAATTGTTTTCTATGAAAAATTCTCTTGTGTGGTTAAGTGTGGGAATATTTTCATACCAATTAGTCTTGACGCATCTTTTCACACCAATTGGCAACTAATTGATGAAAAATTTTCCCCACACTTAAAATTTTCATATGAAATTGTTTTCTCACGCGAACCAAATGTGCTCTAAAAGAAACTGGTTTCATAGGGATGCAACCATATCAAAATAAGTAAAGCCTCACTTTATAACTCATCAAAAATTACAATTCAAGTGTTGAAAAATCACCCTATCAAAATAAGTAAAGCCTCACTCTATAAATCATCAAAAATTGCAATTCAATGTTGAAAAACCTTTAAATCGATCTTCTAAAACTAATATTTTAAAAATCAGTGATTCGATCTAGAATCCAGCAATCTGAATCGAGAATCGCACTAGCCATCCCAAATCTCAAAAAATATCGGGATCTTGCCAATCCAGGATCCGTAATGAAAGGATAGAAGGCCGCCACGTGTTACTGTGTTTACAAATTTGAAGGTTTTTTTTATAAACGGAAGAAAGCAGCAGAAAAAATCTCCCGCTTTAGTTGCAGCATCTTGGCTTTAAAGAGGCAAAAACCTCATTAATTTTTCGATGTGGGACAAGATTAGTCCTTGCTCTCTCTCGCGCCCTCGTTCCCTCTCACTCGTCTTAATAACTTAATGGGTGCGATTGTATAGAGCCGTGGTTCTAAAATATCATATAAGAACCCAGCTCCAAATAGTGTTGAGAAACATAATTTCAATATTGGAAAGTTTTTTGATAATTTTAAATTATATTTTCATTTTGAATTATAAAATTTAAAGCTTCAAAAATGGAGTAGATCGAGCAGATCTATAAAAACTTGAAATTGATTGTTTAAAAATGTGTTATAAGATGCAATATTTTTAAAACTTGAAATCCATTTTTTTTTTTTCATGCACATACATCTTGATGTCGAGATGATTAATTTGATGATATTTGAGCATTAAAACAACTTCTTCTAGTGAAAGTTCTGATGTCGGCTCTAATTTGATTGTTTAGAGCCTAGGCTCCATATAAACTTTTCCCTAATTTAATTACCCAAGAAAAAGATTTGGTTCTCTCTCCTTGGCCTCTCTCTCATTCTGTTTACCCTTGCTTCTCGCTCTCTCATCTTGGTTTCTCTTTCTAAACTCCTATTTTATTAACAATATCTATCTTGAGTTCTATTTATTAATTTATTTATATTTAAATTATATAATAATTTTTTTTTGTTATAGTTTTAAATTTTATTTATTTTTTTAAATTAGATAATATTATAAGACATTTAAATTTATTTCTAAATTTTATTATAGTAAAATAGTTATAAAATACAAACTGATAATTTCAATTTCAATGTATAATATTATAGGAGTTAGGTTGTTATAATTGTGGATGAACAATGATAATTAATAAATATTTAATGTGATACTGATTTCAGTTTATAAGGGGTAGTGTTTTTTTTAATCTTATAAAGTGGACTTTTTAAATTTTTTGAATTACTTTGATGCAATATTGTAATATTAAATTACAATTAATAATTATAGAGACATCCAAATAGGGAAACGTCACGGTAGTCACATATTTTTTGTAAAAAATGAAACTACATAATGTAACACCTCCAATTTTTTTTTAAACTTAGGAAATATTAAATATAGAAACTTTTAGTGATAACCAAAATTTTTATTATAATATTATAATTAATAACTATACATTGATAACCAAGTCTTGTATTATATTTATTAATTTATTTTCATTGTAAATTATGTAATGTATTATTTTCCTTATAGTTGTAAATAAGATTTTTTAAATTACATGATATTATAAGATATTTTAGATTTGATCTTATTTGTACTATAAAATAATTATAAAATACACACAGATAATTTCAATTTCACTACATAATATTATAGTTAGTTTGGTTGTGATAATTTTGGATGAGTAAATCGAATTAATATATCTTTGATATTTTGATATGATACTAATTTCACTTGGAAAATTAGTTTTTAAATCTTATAATATAGAAGTATTTTTCAATATTTTTAAATTATTTTGTTGCAATATTATAATATCATATTATTATCGATATTATACAGACTTCCATGCAGGAAAACGTCTTCGTATGCACCTATTTTTACAAAGTAATGAAAGTACATAATACATCACTCCTAATTTCTTTTAGAAAATAAAAGAACACTATTTTTAGATATTTATAGTGATTTTTTGAAAAAATTTTGGGACAAAAATTGCTGATTTCTTTAATCCTTAGATCCGATCTACCGACTCTCTGATCCGACGCTGGTATAGGTGTGACAGATTCGAGTCATCGATTCGATTTTTAAACCTTTCTTAAAACTAAGTGGTCACAAATATGTAAGATCTATACCATTTTTTGGAGTTTCAAAATTTATTGTGACCGTTGGAAATTAATTTTGAGAAATGTTTTTATGTGACCCCAACGACATATAACTTATATGCGACCCCACTTCTTAGTCGTTCGACCTGAATCAAACAGTTACAATTGTTCATACCACAATTTCATGTTAAACACTTTTTTATTTTTCATTTTTTTTACAAAACCTGTTTTGATGAAAATTTGGGCGTCCTGTTAGAAAAATAGGGCGTTCCTGAATAAAAATATTTTATATAAAAATAAATGACCAAAATTCCTCTACAATTTTTAGGGGTATTATGTTAATTTTTCATCATCGAAAATATTATTTTAATATTTTTAGCATGTGCACTCTTGTTAGATATATGCATGCTCCAAATTTTGTCTCAAAATTATTTGTAAAATAAAAATGAAAACTATCAAGATCTGACGATTAAGTGCTAGCTTGTGACATTGTAATTCAAGCCATCTCAACCATCTATTCAGATCTGACGGCTGAGATCAATGGTCACATGTACCGTATATGTGGATGGGGTCAATGCCGAAAGTTCTTTTCGGATTTGAGGTGAGACTTTAGTTTCTAGGAAAATTACAAAAACCCCCTCAAGTATCTATGCAATTTACCACCAGCTAACCTTTTCTCTCATTTTGTTTCCCCAAAACCATCTTTCCTTGCAAAAACCCCAATCCAAAACAAAAAAAAAAAGACTAAACTATCCCCCTCTCTCTCCTCATGGCTTTTACACACGACTCTCTCCCCATGCGTTCTGGTAGTCCATTTAAACGCTTTAACAATGAAGACACGCGCTTTTACAATGCAACTCGCTCAGGCAGTATATTTTCTGGAGCTATAGCGCTCTTGCGGTTGAATAGGTCGCTTTGGCAATGAGAACACACGCTTCGGCAGTACAAAGACGTGCTCCGATAGTACACCTTCTTGTGCCATAACGCTCCAGCCGACAGTACACCCTCTAGGCAGTACAAAGACGTGCTCCGATAGTACACCTTCTTGTGCCACAATGCTCCAGCCGACAGTACACCCTCTAGTGCCACAACGCTCTAGCGGTTGAATAGGTTGCTCCGACAATAACGACAAGCACTCTGGCAGCACACCTTCGGGAGCCACATCGCTCTGGCAGTTGAAGTGGTTGCTCCGGTAATACGCTACTTGGGACTGCCAATTGACCTTTTTTTTTTTTTTGTAGGGAAGGGATTTTCATTACGTTTGGGGGGTTTTTGCGAGAAAAGGAGATTGAGGGAAAAAAGTGAGAAGAAAGATTAGTTGGTGTAAGCTGCATAGATAATAATTTTTCCATATTTTCTTTTCAAAAAACCTAGCCGAATAACAACTTCATCCAACACTAAACTACATAGCCAAGTAACAACTTCATTCAACACTAAACTGTGTGGCTGTTCGTACAAGACGGACCCACCAAAAGGCCTAGAATTTCCTTTAAAAACACTTCTGAAGTAGAACTAAACGATACTAGGTTTTGGACTCAGAAGTCGCAGGGCAATGGCACATCTATATTCACATCTTCACTCCCCCATGATGCCTTCAAATATTGTCTCAAACAACACTTCCTCAAAGCTTTTCCCTCGTGTTTCAGCTTCCATTAGACCTAATTTCAAGAAATGGTTTGGTAGTTTCACGCTCAAATCACTGAATTGGGCTCTGGCTGGAACTCTCGCTCTAGAATTATCTCTCTCTGGTACCAAATTGATTCCTTAAAATTCACTGGTATTCGCTTCTTTGGATTTGGGGACTTTATTTCACGCTTAGTTTTTTTTTTTTTTTAAAAAAACCTTACTTTGGTGTTATTTTATCTATTTCGGAATGAATTATTGCGGAATATCCATTCAATATCCGAAATTTTTTTCCAAAAACTGGTTATTAGCTAGGTGTAAGCTTGCCCTGAAAAATGCAGAAGTTAAGTGGAGTTATGGAACGGAGAGGAATTCTGGAGAGATTAGATTGAAACAGAATTCGTAAGTCCTGAATTTTGATAATTTGGCCTGGCATTTCTTATATTTTCGTCCATTTTTTTCTTCTGAAATTCAGAGTCTATCCGACTCATACTTGAGATTTTTTTAAATTTTCTTCTTTACAATTTCAGATTCATGCTGAAATTTTGCATGAGTACACAGTAATATACTCTCCGTGGTTCCATTTACTTGCATTCGGAGCTTCAATTGAAACTGACAATGCCAGTTGATGCTAAATTTTTCTATATATGAACTATTAATTCCACTCTCAGTACTTGTATTTTCACATTCTTTGGGAAATTCCATGGAAACCGAATTTAGCTGTATATTGGATATAATAGACACTGTTCTTTGTATGCTTGTATTTACTTGATTTTGTAGCTTTAATGGAAACAACCCATACCGAAAGATGGTAAACTTTTGCGTAGCTTGGTTGTTAGTCGATATTGTACTCTCTATGCTCATATTACATGCTTTTAGTGCAGTAGTGGAGGCTAATACAAACATGGGTTGTAGGACCTGGACTTGCTGATGCAAAAGTAGGTGTGAACAAGCCTGAATTGCTCCCTGAAGAATTCAGTCCTCTTATTGATGTGGCTGGGTTCCTCTCTACTGGTCAGGTGTGCATCTTTGCTATTCCTGCTTCTTCGGGTCGCATTTTCTCACTCTAGTTATGACAGTTCTTGCGAATTTTATTGGAATTTTTACAAATTCACTAAGTTTCACAATGGCAACATTGAAAGCGTATTGAATTACTCAAGTCATTACTTTGTGAATATAATGTCTAATTCATTGTTTAAGGTTTTCTTTGATTTCCATCCAAAGAATTCTCGTGTCTATTCGTGCAGTTTGGAGGTCTTTTGGCTGCCTCCAACCAATTATTTGAGCACCTAAACTATTTGGCTAATATGGGAACAAAAATTTGGTTATGAGTTTGTCTTTGGGTGGAGAAACAGAGGTGAATTTCAGCCAAGCAATGGTCTGGGATTCATACAAGGTGGCCTAAACTATCTAAGAAAACTATATGTAAAAAGTTATTGCTAGAATTATCTGAATGTGATATGCAAAATGAACTTTTGTCTGCATTTGGCAGTCTGACGAGAAGTTTGAAACTGCTCCTAGGCCAAAAGCTATATTGGAACTGAAGTTTTCAAAGTTAGCCAAGATGATTGGTTACATCTGTAGCTCAAAACCTCAAGGCTCCTGCATAACTACACCTGCTTCTGAATTGAGTTGATGTATGATTCTGTTTCATACTGACAGGAGCCATGATGAGTAAAATTCAAACATGGTCAAGACTTGATGTTAAGTTCACGCCCTCAATATCAATGTAAAATTCAAACATGGTCAAGATTTGATGTTAAGTTCATGCCCTCAAGATCAATGCCTCTAAAAGGTTTCATTTAGTCCATCTATGCATAGAGAGCCATTATATTGGAACCATCGAAGCTTCTCCCTTGTTTTTTCCTTTCATGTGTACAATACAGTGGGATATACTGATAGTTCAGAAGAATAGGCCATGGAGGTTCACTAGATATTGTGTGAAAGTTAGGAAGTATATTGTTTTTAGCAGTGTTTTTAAAACTCTCGGGCTGAGATTTGCTAAGTCTTCTGATCAGGCAAAGTTCCTGTTCAGGTTCAAAAACCTCAGGACTTCCTGCGTCTCACCGGTTTCTCGACCCTCCTGTCCTATTTTTGCAGAGACTCGGCCAAATCAGACTCGCTGGCTCGGGCTCTGGACCCTGGTGAGTCCAAGCCTTAGGCCATGGTTTTAATCATTGATTATTAAAGGTAGGTTTGTCTACTCAAGAAATGGTATACTTGATGTGGAAATCCATCAGCCATATGTCATTTGCTTTGTTATGTTACATGCTTATTGAGATGAATGCTTTTTGCTAGGATAATATCTTTATATTTGAAGCCTATGAGGCTGGAGTCGGGCTTTTTGGGAGTCAGCCATGATTTTTTGAAGGGACTGATTTGAGTCATTGAGGTTGCATCTGTGGCGATATTACTTACGAAGGGGAAGGTGTATTTTTGAAGTGGCCACTCTTTAAGTGCTTAAGGAGGGTATATTAGGGGAAAGAGATGGTTTCCAAATCAAAGATGTTATAGAGGTATGTATTGGTGATTCCTTTTAAGTTGCGGATATATTGTCTTGGAGGGCACTGGGTCCTGGTCTTTAGCTTGCAATACAGATGCTCCCTAATCAAACTTGCCAGTTGGTGAATTGAGTTACATGACCTCTTTCAATATGAAGAAACCATCATTGTGCTTTTCTTATGCTAGCTAATGGCACGTTCATTGCACAATGCTCCTGCTGAGAGATTGGATGAACAATACTTTTGAAATATTCATTCTAAGTAAAAATTAATAATTTATTAATTTTTTAGTTACTTTATTTCAATTTTACGTCATTCATTATTAGATTTCTACCTGTTTAATTTTTTATCTAATATTTTCTGTACTCGTCTTGAGTTTACTTTTATTTGATAGGCTGAATGCTATTTTATTATTTCCTATCTTTGGTTGGAATAACTAAGCTTATAGAAGCCCTTCAAAATTTCTGCAGTTTCCCTTTTTTGCCTGCTTTTATTTCCTCTCCAAAATAGATTATGTTTTTACAATTACTTTTCAGATATAAAAGATAGTTCTAAGGAGAGAGGGCTCCTTTTTTTTGTTTTTTTGTGTTTTTGTTTTTGTTTTGTTTTTTATTTTTTTTAGGGGGGAGGGGGGGAAGAAAGATTTTAGGAAATGTGGAGGGAAAAACAAGATTGCTAAGAACATATTAAAAAAAAAAAGGTGGTAAGAAATTTAAAAGTTACACTGCTATTCATTCTTCCTAATGTATATGGGATTATATACAAGGATATGCAAGGATACTATTTTACCTTTGGTACAAGGAGGTCACAACTACTTGTAACCATCCAATGTGAAATCTAATAGCTTGGGTGCGTCACAAAGTTCGAAAAAATTTCTTTTGAACTTTGAGCTTGGTCAATGGAATAAATGCAACACCCAATTTCACATCTAATGGTCAAGATTAATTGTGACCACCTTGTACCAAGGTAAATAGTCTTGTATACTTTTCCATTTGTATAAAGGACTGTATTGAATAGTTGTGCGAAAAAAGTTGTTACCGACTTTATTTTATATATTCAGGGTAACAAGTCATTTGCACCAAACCAGAAATATCTTTTTCACATTTTTATGAAAGAAATGGGGGAAACATGACAGAAAGATATTACTTTTCTTTTATCTACTTTTTTTTTTCATGTGATGGGATCTGAAAGGAACTTCAGTGTTGTTGTATAGATGCTGCCCAATAGTGGAACTTTGGATGTACATAAATGGTGTATTTTGCCCTAAAGGAGGAGTTTTTGAAGGTCATCTATTCGAAGGTAGCTTATTTGAGGCAATTCTATACTGAATTACAGGCTTTTTAGGGTCAGCACATTCTTATAAAGGGCGTTTAATTTGACTTCCTTGGGTGAGCTGTTAGGGGTGGGTCACTTTGAGAAGCTAGAGGTGGACGATAGCTCATTTGGGTTCATCTCAGGTGGGGTATTGTCCACATTGCATCCGCTGGGTTTCTATACTGCTTCTTAATTTGGAGTGAGATATACCACTTTTACAACAAGGCTCATGTCTTGGTCCTTGAAGGCGCCTCATTCTTGATGGAGTTATTTGCAAGGGGCTCATCTAGGGAAGCTTTTCAGTCAGTGTGAACAGTAGCAGATATTGCATTTGACTTTGAGGGCATTACTTATGGATGCTTGGGTGGTGGTGCCATTTGAATGGTTCAGAGGTGTAGAATAGGACAAGGAGTCAACATGCCTGCAACCAAGACAGATGACAGATTCAAGACTTATTAGGAATGTTTGGGATAATCTGTCAGCAAGAAATAATAAATAGAACATAAAAAGAAATTAGGATTGCTTGGGGTCTGTCTTGACCTTGTGCCTCTGGGGTCCTGGATGAAATTCAAGGGCTCAGCTTCTGGTTTTGAAGGGATGAGATTGAAAGCTTCTCAACATTTTGAGATGATATGGAGAAGTCAAATTTGAAAATACTTATTAATAGCTGGTTAAACCTTGAGCTGTTATTATATAAGGGTTCTCCTCTGCAAAGAAATGTAGCCATGGCACTAGAAATTTCATATGAAAAGTGTCCTTTGACATCATAATTAATTCTTCCAGTTTGAGTATGCTTTAGATCATCACGGAGCACGTGCATCTTTTAAGGTTTGTAGTATTCTAGTTTATCATGCTCGATGACTAATCAAGATATGCTATTTTCTTATATGCACAAGTTACAGAGTCATTTGTTTTGTGCAAATAATATTGTAGATGCTGATAGGATCATATACAATGTCAAGTCGCTTGTGTTGACCTTGGTTTGGGATTAGAGGAACTTCTCGCATGAATGGCTTCTGTTTGTACTCGACGTGTCCTCTCATGTTTTTCTGCAATTCATTTGTGGTTTAAGCACTATTTTTATCCTTCTCACTAGATTACAAAGATATTGCTATTTCATGTTTTCTTTATCATATGCTACATCTTAAACATTGTGTAAAATCAGCTTTGGTTTTTGTCAGAATTTATATTTGCTTCTGCGAGCGTACAATTTTGTTAGTCATCATAATTATTGAACTCTAGCAAGTCTTCGTTGGTATATGTCATCCAGGGATCTAATAGTGCCTTAAGGCCCCATTTGTTCCCTGGAAATGGGTATCCTGGGGAGATGCCTCTCCTGAAATCGGTATCTCCTGGAATTGGCATCTCCTAAAATATAGGTTCTCCTATTTGGATAACATCTGGTAATAGACCTGGAAGATGCTATCCATTGTTTGGATTGCCTGGAAGTCGTGTCTCTTGGAAATTTTAATTCCACCTATTTTCATGCAATTGGTATTTCCACAAAAAAGGATTAAAAATGTGGAAATCGGTCTCCACGCAGAAATGGGACTCCGTCCCTGGGAGGGCATCCAAACAGCATTTACGGGTCGTTTCCATGGATATGGGTCTCTAGGAGACCCATTTCTAAGGAACCAAATAGGCCTAGAGTCTTTCAAGATATTTCTATGTAATTTCTAATGCTAGTACAAGACTGATGATGTCTTGTATTTCCTAACATGTCAAGGAGGTGGAATAGGAGTATTTGTTGGTTGTAGTATTGATGATTATACGAGCTAGTGGAGATGTGCTTTCGAGGACTTATTTGATTATTGTGTACAAATGAAACTGAAGGGGAAGTTTTGTAGGATGACTGTAAAATCAGCCACGTTTTATGGGACAGAATATTGTGGGGTCAAGAAACAACATATCTACAAAATGAGTGTAATTGAGATGAGGGCGTTGTCATAGATGAGTGTCAAGACAAGAAAGGATAGAATTCGTAATGGATACATCCGAGGGAACTCGGGGTTGATTCCAATAAGTGATAAGATGATGGAAAGTAGACTTAGGTGGTATGACCATGTGCAGCGTCGACCTAGAACAACACTGGTTAGGAGGGGGGATTTGGTTCAAGTGGAAGGCTCCAAAAAAGCTCGGGGAATGGATGGAAGTAGTGAGAAGAGATGGTGACTTATGGTCTCACTGAGGGTATGGCCCTTGATAGAGTGGAATGGTGGAACATAATTCATGTAGTTGACCCCAAATAGTTGGGATAAGGCTCGGGTGATGATGATGATGGTATTGATGATTATAGATGCTTATTAACTTTTTTCTTTAGTGTTCTTTTGTGAAGATCGGAATGAAATAACATCAATATGTGATGTCTGACTTGTTTGTTGGTTTCTCTTTACAGATCTTTAGCTTGTCAGTCTTGAATGACAGTTATTTATATTAGGCAAGGTTTATTTGATGCCTTTAGACGTAGAATTCAAATGTAGTTTGCATGAATTGATATTATGTTGCTATTTGTGTCAGGAATACAGAATTATCCAAGAGATTGTAAATCTTGAGAAGGATACTGGATTCAAACTAAGAGTTTTGGCACAAAATTACCCAGACACCCCTGGTAAAATGCGGGGCCACAGCTTTCATTTGTTTTACATAAACGTCATTTTATTGCACTGAATATTATAAGTCAAGTAGTTATCTTCTATTACAGGTTTAGCAGTGAAAGATTATTGGCAAGTGGATGATAAAACCATTGTCTTTGTTGCAGATCCTGCCTTTGGTAATAATAAATACTTTAGCTGTCAGAATATCTATCTTTAATTATCACGGTTTATGTTTTTGGGGATTCTATACTGTTGCTTTTAGTAAGGTATTCTGAATAGCATCTTATAGTCCAAACAAAAATGAGAATATTGAGGATATGCGGTCCTTGTTTCTTTTCGTTTTTTTTTTTTGGCTTTCATATTTCTTTTTTTGTTTGTTTGTTTTATGATAGATGCCTTAGGAGTTGGCTTTAGGCATATATTCTGATTTTCTTAAAAAATGGTGAAAGAAGCCAAGGACTTTCATAATAATCTATGTACTCCTAATATATATGTGTTCATAATTGTTTTAGTACCCAATCCTGAGCTCCAATGGAAAAGTTGTACTGTTAAGACTTTAAAGCTCTCTTGACTATACAGAAAAAGGAAAAAGAAATTATTGAAAAGAGCTTTTTCACCACTATGGTTGAAATTCTCGTTACTTCAACCAATTGGTTTGCTTATTACATCCCTGATCTTTCGATATCAATTGATATCAACCCTGACTCTCTGTTACGAAAGCACTTGTTTTTCTCAGTATATGCATATGTCCCTTGCTTCTTCCTCATGGAATGATTTTGTTCTTAGTATAACATCTTTGGACTACTGTGCTTAATTTTGATGAGTAACGCAAAAATGTTCTCTTATGCTAAGCCACTCCTAAAAGATGCAATATGGATCCTTTGCCATCTTGTGATATGACATAGCTTGTTTTTTTAGCTAAAGAATGACCAGAGACTTCCTGCACTTCATTAGAATTCTGAAGATTTGTCAAGTACATATGGAGGCCACTAAGTTGGTTCTAATATTACCAAATTTTGGTGTTTCTAGGGTCATCATGGCATTTAGTTTGCAAATTAGTTACTCAAAGATCATATGCCTTTCAGTTTTTCTTGATAAAATTTCAATGACCTTGAATTAAATATGGAAGCTTTAGGGGAACACAAATCATGGCCTTTGTATACATGACTGATGAATTCATGGAAAATAATCCAAACCTGCAATCCAATTGCACTTAGGTAAGTCAGTTTCAGTTTCAGTTTCATGTTCAGGTATATGACTTGGTTTGTGCCCTTTTTTATGGTTGTTTTGCCTGAAAATGACATTTTTTGCTTGTAATTTACTTTTCTAGGGCATAAATCTGCATAATATGTACTCCCTCGGCCTGTGGGCAGGTAACATCCTCAATTTCAATGTGGGGGCTTTGGTCGATTTGGATGTACCTCGTAGCTTCTGGAGTCGATTGGCTGGAAAATATGGAAATATGTTTTATTGGAAGGAGAAGGTTTGCTTGTTTATCTGGATCTTGCTCTTATGTGTGTATATATATGTATGTGTGGCCCAATCTTTGAACGCTTGCTTACTAACCTCGGTCATTCATCCAAATTAAATCCAAAAGCTCATGTGGATCCTATCTTTTCTGCTTCAGAATATGGTGGTTGGATGTGTGGTCCAATCTTTATGATGAGCACTTGCCTCCCTAACCTGGGCCATTCATCTAAATCAAACCTAAAAACCCATTTGGATCGTATCTTTCTGTTTCTATACGCATGTGTGGTGCTTTGATACATGTTATGGACGGGCATGTTTTGGTGGAAGATCTAAGGTTTGTGATGGTAAAATATTGCCTATGGATGAACAGGGGGAGGATGCATCTGTTGAAGCTGCTGTGTTGGCCATATCGAGGTGTTTGAGAGAACCTGTAGGCCAAAATAACTGTTCAGAAATTGAGTGAATGGATGCTTCACTCGGTCAATTATCAGAACAGCTTCTAGTTTTCTTTTATTGTGGTAATCAAGGTGCCTCACTCGGTCAATTATCAGAACAGCTTCTAGTTTTCTTTTATTGCGGTAATCAAGGTACAATCACTTGCATTTGCTTTCTCAGCCAATGTTAATGCTAAAGAGTTCTTTCTTCTTGTTGTCTTCTTTCAGGTTTAACAAACCAAAACTATAGAACCTCTACTGAGCCAAAAGCAATTGTATCAGGAATTTTTGATATTTCTGGGTAGCATTCATGGGAGAAGCATATCATGGTTATCTTTTATATTCCTAAATATTGTACCAATTCTAAGAAGAATCGAACACACAACTTGCTAAGTTTTTGAATTAACATGTAGAAGTGCAACTCTGGCAGGAGATCGCAGTAAATTTTCATATTTATAAGATGGTGGTTCTAGTTTATTTTTGAAAATCCCAGCATTTATTTTCTTTTTGGTAGTCTTAACAGTTTTTAAATGATTTTGTTGACATAACAAGGTGGGTTTCTTTGTTCAGTTCCTCTTATAAATATCAAAGAACCGAGGGGTTTCATTCATAATTAATGAGGATTGCTAGCATATGCCTTTGTTCATGGTTGCAACTTGCAACACTGATAATTACTATTTGAAAAATCAAGGTCCCTGTGCTGCATATGCTGGAGGGATTTATAACATCAAGTCATGATACCTGGTTCGCTGAAATGGCCTTGTTGATGTTATGGTGGTATGGAAAGAAGGGCTACTCTTAAAAAAGGGTGAAGGCTTCAATTTTCCACACCCCCGTGAAGGTCCTATTTCGAATGGCCGTTATTTATGGTTACACACCCATTTCTGAGCAGAACACAACGAAGAGTGGTCCGGACCTAGTCTCTCTGCTCTAGCTTACTATTGCTTAGCTCCCATTTGATTAGCAGAGGCTCCACCTCGTGCACGAATTTGAGTTTCGTGAGTCGATTTTCATGCCGTATGCAGTAGATAAGATAATTTCCAAACTCTGTCAATTGTTTTAGATTACAGAAGATTCTCCTTTCTCTAGATTTTGGAGTTGCATCCGTGCAAAAAGCCTATGACCTATTTTTGCTTAGCAATTTCCTTTCCAATTGAAAATCTGTGGTTTCGTATTCGATATCTGACCTTGTAAATTAAAAATCTCAAACGAAAGAGGAAATTTTATTCAGTTGATTTCTCACTGCCGAAAGGGGTCCTAGGGGTGGCAACAGGTTTGGGTCGACCTGGGCCTTTACCGGACCCATTTAGGTTCCACATGTCGGACCCGATCCGGTTGGGTCCACGTGACTTGGACCTGGACCCAATCCGATTGCCACCTTCACTTCTTTGTTCGTGATTGAAATTGGCATCCTGCTTTAAGGTTGGATGCTTTAAATGAAGCACCGGAGATTCTTGGCAGGGTTGAAGGAGGAAAAGGGTTCTTTTTCGCCTCTTTCCATTCACTTTGTACGTTAAAACAAGGGTGACAAAGGCTAATCCAAAATAGTGGACTACCAGTGCGTTAAGATGGGGCCTTAGCTTCTCTCTTTGGTTTATCAACGCTGTTGAAAGAAGTACTATCTCCACAAGTTTATGATTCATTAATAAAATGGGAATGCAAGAGTTGCGTGAGTAATTTAAAGATTTCAGCGTCAGTTACCTGTCAACTCGTCCTTTTAGCTTTAACTGTTCTTTTCAGCTTTAAGTGTTCTTTTCAGCTACGTCTCCAACTTAAGTATCAAAGATCATGTGTCTTGAGTGTATGCAGGGTACACCATTCTAATGGTGAACTTAAAATTTATACTGTTGAACTTTAAACAACATAATATCTTTACATGTTTAAAATTAACTTTTGACTGATTTATTTTTTATGCATTTTAAAAAGGGTTAATCTAACTTTCACACACCTAGAAAAACAGGAGGTGATATTTAGGTAGGGATGTGAATGAGAAATTGACCAAAAATAACCTTTCTCTAATGTAGTTATAACACAATTTTGGAGGGAACTTGGGAAATTTTTTTTTTTTGGGTAGTTAAAATAAATTATTTTAATAGATTGACAAACCCTTTGGATCATAACAAAAAGTTGCAGTCCATTTTCTTTAGGCGAGAAACCCCAAATTCCTCTCTACCCAATTATAATCTCCATGCCTTCTCCCTCTACATGCCCTCTGGCTCTTCCCTTAAATTAAACCATCTCTCTCCTCACCTTCCCTTCTCACCCCTTGAATGAAACCATTTTTCTCTACTCACGTTCCCTTCTCACTCTTACCTGCGCTCTCTCTTTACCAGCTAAAATTCCTTTTTTTGTATACGTAGCTGTATTTACTCGATCGATCTCTCTTTTTTTTTAGGAGAGGGCCCCTACTCTTAGTAGAAATTGAGCCTAAAACGTAACAATGCAAATCGTCAAGCGCTAACAATTTAATCTTGGGCTCACGCTAAAGAGTACCTTTCAGCCATTCCTCATTTGCCTTTAAGGTGGAGGTAAAAGCTTTGTGGAAGATTGGGCATTGGTGAAAGATAGAGAGAGACATTTGGATGGCATGAGGGTTGGGAAATGAATAGGGAGAGAGATGGGCGGGACGTGTGGGTGGTGGGGGGGGATTGGGTGTGTATGTGCAGAGAGAGAGAGAGAGAGGCGGTGGGAGGAGATTGGGTGTGTATGTGGAGAAAGAGGCAGGAGGTCGTAGGTAGAGAGAAAGGAATTTGAAGAAAGAACAATTATTCCATGCGAGCTGGACCACATTTATACAATATACAGTTTGGATCGCATTTCTACAATATGCAGTCTGAAGGTGTAAGCATTCTTTTTAAAGGTGGATGAAAATAGATGGTCTATCTAAAAACAATTGTAACTAACGGTCCAAATGTTTTTTTAATATAATTATAATTTCTAGATTTCAATTTTTATTTATTTTCATATTCATGATCTCTATATTAAATATTATATATACTTTAAAAATTAGGATCAAATTATATTTAAAAAATATATTTATTGTCAAGCTGGCATTTCTATAATATGCGGGATGGCTGCATGCTAACCGCGTCCTTGAAAAAATTGGGATCTGACACTTTTACAAATATACCCAATCAAGATTCTTAAAAAAAAGGGTAATTTTAGTCAATTCATCATTCATACCCCTTTCCAAACATCACCTATCCGGGGGTGTGAACGTTAGAGTACCCCTTTTAAAAAGGGTATTTTGTTATTTGAAAATCTCTCTAAAATCAATTTTTTCTCAACCAAAGTAATTTGAAATTAGTAATACGTCATTTCTTGAAATCCTCAACCTAGGTCATGTAATTTTTAGATTTATAAGGATTTTTTTTTAAGAAAAAAAAAATCGGAGTCAAATTTAATGACTTTAAACTTTCCCTTAACCTATCCCAAAGAAGTGGGTTGTTTTAGGTAGACAACCGATATAAAACTTTACCAAAATTTTTTATGACTTAACCGACCTCAAATAGTTGGAAAAATATGTGGATGGATGATGAATTAAATTTACCATTGTGGCAACCTAATCCAAAATTTTAGGACTTCCTGAAAGTTTTCGAGTTCTATATGCTTTCTAAACATGCTAACCTTCTTGGTTACATTCCAACAATTTTTTATTATCTCCTTACAATGTCTATGTTTGAATTATATATTAAAGAATTTAAAAGGCTTAGGTCATCAACCTATATCCCCTAACAATGTTTATGTTTGAACTACATATTAAAGAAGAACAATAGTTTTATGTGGGGCTGACTTGTATTAGTACAATATGCGGTCCAGACGTATAAAGCATCCATCTTAAAGATGGATGCAAATAGGTGGTCCATCTAAAAAATATTGTACCTAACGGTTTAAATGTTTTCTTAATATAACTATTATTTTTAGTTTTCAAGTGTATTTATTTTTTCATATTCATGATCTTCATGTTAAAGATTATATTATATATATTTTCTAAAATTTAAGATCAAATTATATTTTAAGAAAATATTTATTGCCAAGCCCGTATTTGTACATGTGCGGGCTTAGCCGCATGCTAACCGCGTCCATTAAAGAATTTAAAAGGTTTAGGTCATCAACCTATTAGTTGATTGATATGAAGTGCAACAAGGCTGCGGCCTGAAGTAATTATTGGAAAACTATTTTTGGAGTGAAAGAAGAGATCCGATGCTTTGAAACCAATGTTTCATTAGGTTTTTTAAAGATAGAATCTCCTGTTACTTGGTTATATCTCTTAGATAACTGGTTGGACTGCCTCTCTAAGTCTACTATCATTATTCGTTTTTTTTTTTAAATTTCCTTTCTCATGGAATGAGTTGTCATCCTATGTTTTCACATTTAAGGATGTTGAAACTACATTTCTCGACACTATTTGAAGGTGCGCTCTACTTTGATTGTTTAGGGCCTCGGCTCTATACAAACTCCACCCTAAATGTATTGCGTGGAATGAGGAGATAATGTCTCGGAAGAGCATGTTATTCTAACAGAGAAAGAGAGTGTTTATGGGAATAGGGTTCAGGCATCGATGATTAGAGTGGTTGATGCTTCAACATAATGTCATGTCCTCCATTCCCACATTAACAAGTCGAAGAAAAAGAAAGAAAGAAAAGAAGTGAGAGTGTTTGTGCGCCTGTAATCGGTGTTAGGCATTTTTTAAACTAAATACTACTTTCGTAGACATGCATTGATGTATGTTGTTGTTTGTTCTTCTTTGGATTGAAAGATGCATAAAATAATGGATTTAAATCCATTGGACTTTGGTCCAAAATTGATGTTTTGGTGGGTACCACAAATGTTCCCTACCACACATATTCCCTTATCCGATTGGCAATGGGCTGGGCGGCCCTAAAATGTAGGACATGAGCCACACATTGTGGCTTGAGGGCCATGCTATCACTAGGCCTGTTCCGTTTGGCCAGGTCATTTTTTTTTTTTTTAAAATTTTTTCTTTATTTGATTTTTAACCTGACCCTACTCTAAGAGGACTAGGGCCGGGCCTGGGCTAGACCTATGATGGCAAGGTATGGGCCACAGCCAAGGTTGGCTTGGGCTCCCCCATTGCCACCATAGGCCACCTCCACACATGCCCTTAGTGAACATGCATGGGGGCAAGTAAGTCTTGTAATTTTCGATCCATTCCTTTCCCTCCCTAAGTTTTTAGAGCATCTTGTCCTTTTATTCTTATAAAATACTGAAGTGGCCCAAATGTACTATCTAGATACTGGCCTAGAAACTGTTGTTATAAGCAAATTCTATTAAAGGCAAGTGCTTATCCCAATTCCCTTTAAAATTTGTGACACAAGCCCTCAACATGTCTTCTGGGGTCTATATAGTCCTTTCTGAGTGTCCGTCTGTCGGAGGGTGGAAAGCTGTACCAAAAGCAAGTTTGGTCCTCATAGCTGACTGTAGGCTGCTCCAAAACCTCAAAGTAAAATTAGAGT